TGCAGGTACAGCCTGTGGATGGCTTCTCTGGCTTTTTTATCGAGAGACCCCTGAGGTAACAGAAATGGGATAGTATGTGATGCATCTCTGATGTATCCTGGAAGGTACATCTGGTGAAGAAAGCAAGGAAGTACTAGTGCTCTTCCCTCTGGCAAGTTCCTTCTCCTGTCCTGCTCCAAGGATTGCATCCCTGATGCAATGGCAGAGGCTGTGGAAGAAAGAGGTAAATGAGGGGAGAGAGATCGTAGGCAGAGTGCTCTGTCGCTGGGAACAAACGCTAAGAATATGGTCATTCAAAGACAACAACGTAGGAGTGCAAGACAGCAAGAAAAACAGCTTTGAGGGACAAAGGCTTCATTCTTTCTCGTTCCTCCTTGAGATCTGTCCGCAGATGGCAAAGGAACATTAATATTCTTGCCCCATCTTCTCCAGAGATGCAGAGCTTGCCCTCAGGCTGCTCTCTTCGCCTCCTGGTTTGCAATCATATGGTCGGAGTGGGGAGAACACTGCCAACCCCCCAACCACTGTCAAGTCCCATGCAGCTGAGCTGGAGCAGGTCTTGCCACTGGTTCAAAGATCTGCTTACACAGAAGAGCAGAGCAATGGTAAGCCACAGTGTGAGCTCAAACTGCTGTTGTCACACCAATGCAATGCTGAAGGTCAACCTCTTTTTCTGACACAGAAGGCTTTTTCTGGTTTAGCTTATGTCATGCTGAAATGAGTTCAAAAAAAGTGAAATAAAAGTGCCACTTCTATTTCACAACAAAAACATCCACACAGGCCACCAGCCTAATGGAAAGACTGAATTAAATTTACCAGTAATTGCTAAAACATTTCTGCCCAGAATCACTCAGTGGGGACTTGGAGCACATTTTGCAAGGTCTGTGCAGAACTAGGAGGAGCGGTACAACCAGGGCCAGTTTTGCCATCCATGTCACATGCTTCTGCCACAGCGCTAGCACTGCACATGCAAACAGGGAAACGCTACTGCCTTTCTCCAACCCAACATCTGCCAGGCCAAAGCTGCCCTCAGAGCAGAAGGGCAATGGTGCTGCTTCTGGGAGAGCATGTGGCCACGAGGCACGTTCCTGCACAGCGGCTGGAGCTACGCGATGCCTGCTGCAGGCTGCGGGTTAGCAGCACACAGATGCTTACAGACACGGGAGTGCAAAAGACGACGTACCAACCTACTTCGTGTGATGTGAAATACACTGCAGGGTTCAAATGTAAAGGCACGGGGTTAATACAGGACTGGCAAAATACCATCCAGAACTGAATTTATTTGATAGTTTTCCTGTGCTGAAAGAGAACAAACGCAGCAAGAAAACAAAAGTGCTCCCAGCCTATAGAAAGTAAAAGGACGTGAAGAAAGCAAATTAACATTAAGCTGTAAATAATAATGAATATTCAATGTAATTTAAAAATCACAAATAAATTGTAAATGGTCACGAAATAGCAGGGCTGCCTAAAGACAGCAGGATACAACCTTTTCATCTGCCAGTCTACATTCAATACTCATAGCGTTCATGGGGAAAAAAAAATTCTCAGGTACTCGCCAGCCTGGAGAGACAACCTGCTTGGTGCTCGATGAGACACAAGTCCCCACCAGAGGAGGATGGCAATGCAAACTGGTCCTCTGAAAGAAGCAATCACTTCTGCAGTGGGAGACGCTAATGCACCCTGAGACAACAGACCACAGAAACGTCACACTGATAAAATTCTCTTGACACAGCAAACTAAGAGATTTCAGTAACAAGGGAAAATATTTTGACAAAATCTCCTGTAACCGTTTGCTTTGTACCATTAGAAAATTGTTATCATTCAGAAGAGCTTCACAGTGAGAGAAGTAATACACTAGGTCATAGGAAAGAAGCCAGATTTTGAATTTACTTACACAAAGATGAGCAGAAATTCAACATTAAGCTGTTTCCATTGTACACTCATATACAAGATAAAGAACTGGGCCCCAGCTACAACTTGTGCAGTACAACCCAGCATTCTTCCTCTGAACACTGATGTAATATTTGGCAAGATTTTCACACCAATTGCTGAAGTCACACCCGCATGCACCTGTAGGTCTGCGAGCAGAGCAGAGGCCCTCACAAGCCAAAGTCACTAAGAGCAGCTGCATGCACCAGGATCTGTTTGTAAAAGCTCCCTCCCACTTTCCGTATGTCCAAATTTCATGCACGTCATTGTTTTAGCTTTTTTTTCCCCCAGTAGATCCCATACGTTTTGCCCCTCCAAGAGTCAGAAGGAGCTCAGGTGGCAAGAAGCCTGTCGCAGTCTGTGTACAGACCTGGGCTCCAGAAGGTATGAGCAAAAGCAAGACATAGGTACACACCCTCCTCTCTCCAGTATCAGATCTAGAGCAAGGATTCACATGGCTCTCCTTTCTCTTTGCTACCTCCTCTGCCCCGAACAGCGCACACCCCACACTGACATCTCAGGACCATGCTGAGTGGGCAGCAGCCAGGGAGAGCTTGGGGCTGCCTCAGGAAGGGCCCAAACATCACTTTGGCATTGGCCAGAGCCAAAAAAAAGGCAAGTGTTTACATGCACAGACACAGCCGCTTTAATAGCTCATCCCTCCTAAATGACTACACATGCTCTTTGCAGAAACATGTAAAAACAGAACTGCAAAACGAATGATGGACGATATTCCTCCTGGTCAGCGGGGTTAAAAGCCCCGTGGGCCAGTGGCTATTCTGTCAGGCAAGGCAGGGAAGCAGGCTGCGTTTCTGCAGGACATCGTGGTCCCTGTTTTGTAGGGAAGGAACAAGTATTGCAACACCATGAGACATTGTAAAATAATTTGCATTAATTTGCATTAACATGAAATCTCTGCAGACCCCCAGACCTCGCGGACTGTATTAAGGAGCTACCACCAGCGATAACCATCTTGCAGCAAAAAAAGGTATCATTTCAATGAAATACTAATTGCAGAGCACATCCTAATACGGCTCCTCGGGGAGGAGGGAAAAGCTGTGGGGAGGCCTGCACACGTGGTTCATTTGCATCAGTTGCCCTTATTATTCCTCCAAGTTCTCTTTTTTTCTTCGGTATTAATTAAAGCTCATGCTGTGACAACCATGCAGTGAAGAGGGAGGGACTGGGAGGCACACTGAGTGACTGGCAGACATTTCAGCAGGTTTAACTTCTCCCACTACATCTTTTTTTTCCTAATGTCCTTATTTTTTCCCTAAAAACCAAAGTAGGATAGGCTCAGGAATATATTACATCTACGGATAAAAACCTGATGGAAACAAATTCCTGTTTTCTCTGCATAAATAACCCTGTTGATCTCCTCCATGGACAATGCACAAAATGCTGTGGATATCCAGAGCTTTTCCTCATGTTTGGGAAGCTCCCGAACAGGAGGCATAGTCCTGACTGCTTACTCTGCGCAGGCTTTGTAGTTGCATCCAAGGGGGAACAATGCTTCCAAATTGTTTGGGGCTTCAAACAGGTTAACACAGGTCTCATGTCAGCAGCTCTGGAAATAGCCTGCGACTTCAGAACGGATTTAACTTCAAAAAAAACAGGGTTTCATTCAACACCTTCCTCTCCAGGAGAGTCAACTGTCACCTGCAAAGGTTGTGAACCAGCAGGCACATGAAATCTAGTAACACCACCAAAGCCCTGCAGGTTTCTACTCAAATCACTACAGGATGGGTCCTCCCACCCTCCACCCTCTTTTTTCAACTAGAAATTGGGTTTCAAAGCAAGGTCTGCCCACAGTGCCTAAGTATTTCCCTACGCACATACAGCCATTTAGCCAGGATTTGGACATACCTCAGCGGAAAGGCTTGCAGAGCTTTCCCTCCAGACCAGATTCACTTCCCTTCCATGCTGCCTCACCATCCGACTGGCCACGCTGCTGCTGGCATCGGGGAGACCCAGGCTGGGGCCCGTCCAAGGGTCATTACCTGCAGCATGGTCTCATGCAGGCCTGCCCCAGGCTTTCTGCCCCTTTTATGGCTCATGGCAGAAGCATTTTTTCTTCCATCTCAGGCCTGAGAGTATGAAAACAAAGAGCAATCTAAGCTGGGCCACCTCACCATGCTATGGTGAGAAGCTGCAGGCAATTTGGAGGCTGATTCCTAATGAGTGTGAACACTGGCCTTTGCGTCTTTGGATTAGCAATGAAAACCTGGTTTTTCTGACAGTAGGTTTCAGAGTTAACATTCCTTCTTTAACGTGTGCTTGGCATGCTCTGCAGACTCAGGAGGGCACATCTCTACGAGCTGCTTGGTGCTCCACAGTGGACGCTGGCCATCTCGCTGCCCACTGGCTCAGAGCACGCAGCACACATTTGGGTGCTCTATCAATTACATTTTTCATAAAGGCTTTAATAAAAAAGGGCTCAATAAAAGCTGTTGGGAGCATAGGTTTACATTTTCCAGAGAGTTTAAAGCCAAAGCTTACTGTGACGCTGACCCACACCGTCAGCGCCGGCTCTTCCAACTCCATTCTCACGTCTGTCACCCTCGGGAACAGCCGGGAGGCTCAATGTGCTGTTTCTAAACCGCCTTGGGCAGCGCTGGGGAAGAAACAGGCTTCAGAAGTGCAAACTGATTGACTCAGTTCAATTAAAAATTAATCTAAACACCGTAAATCTAGGTTTCACTTGAGCAGCATTTGAATTGGCATTATGCTGTATCTAGAATAGGTAAAACCAACTTACACCACGCACACCAAAACCACGCTCCTGGAAATAGTGGCTACTGCTCCTCAGTCACAGAACAGGCTCGGTATTCAGTACAGACTTAAAAAATGGAAAGCCCAAGACATTTTAATTTGAAAATTCCTTTCTGAGTTTTTAAATACTTTGAATTGCAAGTGGCAGCGTTTTAAATTAATTCTTATCCCGTAAGCTTAACTGCAATTTGCTAGCGCAGGCTTTCACATGCGCAAACCCAGCCATGAGATGGGGGACTCTGTGACGCCATTTGTCAGTCATCTGACTGCGTTAACACTTCAGTCTCCCTTTGAATAGCATGAAAAAGGACACAAGTTTAAGAGTTCTTCCTTGTTCAAAATATACATGCTTTTTGAATGAAAAATCATCAAAATTATTGTTGTTGAGCGAAAAATTATTGTTGTTGGGAAAAAACAGCATTTTTTTCTGCAGAATTTCCACAGTCTCAGTCATGTAAAAAGTGTTACGAAAGGCTGATTGGGGTTTTTTTTTTTTTTAAAAGAAGTTCGTTTAGATCGTTTTGAGATGAAAAAGTAACAATTGTTACATGCTTCATTCCAATTCCTACGTAAGACTTTTTTCTGTTTCAAATGAAACCTCAAGCTCGGCTCCCAAGGAAGAGCGCACGGCAAACGCCAGCGGGCAGCTCACCACACACCCTGCCCGGAAAACCTGCGTCCCGGCAGGCTCGGTCCCCGGGGCTGGCCGGTTTCGGGGCACACGACGCCGTCAGCTGCAGTCAAAAGCCGGGGGCCCCCTGGAA